TTTGGTTGTGACTCCGGCAGATCAAGCTGCAGACCAAGATGCAATGACCGAGGAGGAGCGAGCACTCGAAGCTGAACTAATCAATCTGAAAACCTCGTTAGAAAATGCTAGGAAAGCAGTGGCTGATACGGATTTTTATAAAATGACCGAACATGTCCTTGAACTTGGACGTATCAAGTTCAAAGTACGGAAGCACTTGCGTGGGCATTTAGCAAAAGTTACATGTATCCAGTGGGCTTCAGACAATCAGCTTCTTCTATCTGCATCCCAAGATGGGAAGTTGATTGTTTGGGACACGTATACCGCAAAAAAGGTTCACATGATCCCTTTGAAAACCGCCTGGGTCATGGGATGCGCTTTTGCACCCTCGTTAAATTTAGTCGCAAGCGGTGGCCTGGACAATATGGTATCTCTGTTCAGCCTCAAATCACGTGACAGTTCTGCGAAGCTAATTCGTGAGCTAAATGGTCACACCGGTTACGTTGGTTGCCTCCGGTTCATCGACGATCAGCATTTACTAACTTCTTCTGGAGATAAAACTTGTGCTTATTGGGACGTGGAAAGTGCGAAAATCATAACAAGCTTCCGTGGTCATGCAAACGACGTGACCGCAATCGCCTTTTCCAAACAAGTTCCCACCATGTTCGTGTCTTCCTCCTCCGATCATACTTGTCGTCTATGGGATTTACGAGTCACTGGAGCGGTTCAGTACTTCGAAGGGCACCAACAAGATGTCAATGGCGTGGACTTTTTCCCTGTGAATTCCTACGCATTTGCGTCATCCTCGGACGATGGTTCGTGTCGCTTGTGGGATCTCCGGGCCGATCAGGCTATCGGTGTGTATATTGATGATTTTATTAGCTGCGGCAGTAGTAGTGTGGCTATATCGAAATCCGGACGGTTACTAATTGCTGGTTATGATGATTTCAATTGTCACGTATGGGATCTCCTCCGCGAGGAACGTGTGGGAATTTTGTCCGCGCACGAGAATCGTGTTTNCGTGTTTGTTGCGTGACTATTTCTGAAAGTGGTGTTGGTGTGGCTACCGGTTCTTGGGACACGACTTGCCTAATCTGGACTGCGAAATAAATAGACAGATATCTGCATTTGGGATTGTCTCCACGCAGTGCAAACCGGCGTCGTGATCTAATTCCCATCAATCCCGAATATCTTTTTCACGTGACTACTCGAACAAGTTACCACGAGGAAGGAACCCGAACTGATTCATCCATTGGAATGCGCTATTGATGTTGTAATCTTGGTGGGGCCACCAGGCCACTTGTATCCTACACCCGTTGGAATTCTAAGTCGAACTCATACCAGCTGTATATTTGAGAATGACCCCAGACCGGGAGTAGTGGTGTTTGGAGAGGTCGACTGTGCTCCAACGTGTCTGTTACAATAGGATTTCTATCTCACTCAATGCCCAAAATGGATTGAAACCCAGTTGATTGAGTAAGTCATTTCTGTTCGTCTATTCGATCGACTCCGATCCCACCCCGTTGCCCGACTGCATTCATTGCCACGCTGTGACCATAGTTCGCGCGCGCTTTCAGTGGTACTTTTTCTTTCTACTTGGTTTGCTTGACACAGAGTGATCCCAGACGTTCTTGCTACAACCAAGTGTCCCGCTGCACACACTCTTCTGCTCCAACCCGGACTTTGTATCGGTTACCGTATTTCCTTGTTTCGTCAATCGCTTTCTTTTTTTCTAATTCCCGACTCAAAACGTTTTGGCATAGGTGAATATAATTGACCCTGTCTATGTGTAAAAAGAAACAAACTCGATCGATTATCGATCAACCTCCCCAGACTTCCCCCCAATGTGTTGATCAATAAATTCTTTCGGTCTCATTGTTTATTCCAAACTTGATCCCAATTCTATTCACGACTGGTCTGTCAATCCTGATTTATTCGTGTGTTGATCCATTTCATGCACGGATTCATACTGCGCCACCAATTCTATTGAGTTCACTTTTTACCTCAGCAGTTACAGTCCCGTCTGGGAAATGTTTGTCCCGCTTAGGCTAACACTCTCTGTCAACGCTGTTCCCCAAACTTCTTTTCAGTCACTCTGTGGTATGTTATTTGTTCCCTGACAGATCCATATTTTGGTAAAACCCGATTGCGTCATGGCGGAAGTTTTGCGTGTTCGCCAGTGATCATCAGTCTGCCTCCCCCTGGGTTACCCTTGCTGTTACTGTAGTCTTGGATTACCATACTGTTTGGGTTCGACTGGTGCTGCCGATGCTGCTGTCGTTACCGCTGTTCCATTCGACAATCCATTGTCCCGTACAGATGAAATCCACATTAAACTACCATCATGCACACGCACACACTGTTTACATGTACTGTCTTTGCTGATCATGAAGTTTTCCGTTCGTCCTATCTTCCGACGCTTGCTTTTTCATTTGCTTGGTTTTTTTGTTTCCTTTCTTGTTCTCCTTCCAGGTTCTTTTATCCCCCCCCCAACCCTCGCTCCCACTGACTGTCCCTTCGATCTAGTACGATTTTCAACCAGTACGCAAATGATTCCCCAGAATGCGTTTACTGCTATTGTATCCAAAATCAAAAAATCAACAACGTCCAATATATTACGTCTCATTCGTTCGTTGCACTACATTGGTTACCATGTTGGTTTCCCCCTATTCCAGGCCGTATCTTCAGTTAACTATAGAAGTAAAGCGCTGTCGCTGGGTGGCTTTTGTACTAAGGCTGTTTATGCTCTCACTGCGTTGTGATGAGAGGATTTTCATTGGAGATTGTTTTTTGCTTGTAATTTTGGTCGTTGTGGCTCCGTTCAAAGTGCCTGGTTGAAAAAGTAATCACCGTAGCATATTTGTCTTTTTGAGAAGGACGGCTAGCATGTATGTTTCACACAGGTCTTGGTCTAGTCTGCATGGAAAATCAGTGCCATGATTTTTATAAAAGACAGTTCCGTGATTTGTTTGTGGGCGCGAGATTGCCAGGGTGCCCAGGCTAAGATGGGTGAATTTTCCTGGGGAATTCGAAACCGGCGAGCCAAATCTTGACCCGCAAGGCAACGGGGTGGTGTTTTAAATTTTTTATTACATACTTATGTGTGAACAGCAGACGGGGAAAGCCCCATAATCACGAGGACCTGCTATTCAGTGATGGAAACCAGTAATCTAATCCCCCGGAGCTTGGAGTGGCGAACCACATAAGACCCCGATAGTTTGGGTATGATATTGGACCGGACGACAGCAAGACTGCCTACTACCAAAGTTGAGTGGCTGCGGCGGGGCTCGAACTATAGGGTGCAAAGCACGCCTGTGACAGCGACTAAACCACTGCGCCACCAACACCAGTTTGTCTGATTATCCGTCCTTTGGACGAGGTCAAACGTCCCAGTCGTGCCAGTGACCACTGCCACAGCCCGAAAAGTGTAGGTGGGTGACGTTTGCACACCTCTTAGTTGTTTCCAAATCAAGGATTTTAGTCAACTCTTCTGTGTAAACTGCTAGTGGTTCACCGACCCGGTTATAATCCCGAATTTCGGCTTTTCGTACTCCCACTTTGTTGCGAAAACACCACCACTAAAATGCGATTAGTAGTGCTTCCTCAGCCAAAACTGTTGGACACTAGCGTCCGAGATTCGAACCTCGACAGCATTATCTGACTGTGACGGTAGTGA